TTATTTTGGTGGGGTTGGGCGGGAAGGAAGGCTGGGGTTTTGTAAAGTGTCCACTACACGTTGTTCATTTCCCTCGATTTTCCTCCCTCCCTCCGTCCCTCCTGCCTTCCTCCCCTTCCCAAGCCCTCCCGGTCGTCCCCATCCCAGGCTTGCTGTGTCTCTCCGTCCCCACCCTCCTTTCCCACTTCTTTTTTGTGTGTGCGTATCTGGTTTCTCCCTTTCCTCCCTTTGGGTTCCCAGAGTCGGTGGGAGAAGAGCGGGAGGGTGGCCCCCCAGCGGCCCAGCGGGTGGGTGCGGAGGGGCGGGGCAGTGGGGTTGTCCCCGAGTGTCCCAACTCACCTCACCCGGAGAGGCACCCGCCTGGGGCCGCCCAGGGGAGGGGCTGAGGCCTGGCTGCAGGCCAGTGGTGTGTGTGCCGCCGGCGACGGGCAACGTGCATTGACATTGACGGGGAAGCTGCGAGGAGCAGGGGTGGGGGCGGGCGGGGGGAGGGCCAGGCAAAAGCAGATATATATTAAAGACAAATACTCCATACCAAGGGCAGCAGCCTGTGGCACCCACTGGGCGGGGCGCAGGGAAGGGAGGGAGCGAGGTGGCATCTGTGGACTGCTGGGTCACCTCTCGGCCCACGGGCTCCCTGCTCCCCCGGTTTTTTTCTCTTTGTTAACAAATGTGTCTGAGTCTTGGAAACACCCCAACCCCGGAAATGTGTGGGAAAAAGAAAACAAAAACTTTCCAAATTCCAACAGTCCTGTGCCGTTTGTTCCTGGTGGTGCTGTTAGGACCCTGGGCCTGGCTTTGGGCTGGGGTAGGGGCCCAAGTGGGGGCACGTGAGAGCTGGTAAGTCACCCGCACTTTTGAACTGAGCACAACTTTGGGGTCCTGGTGCCACTTGTCTGTGTCTGGTGCCTGAGCCCCTGTGGGTGGGACTGCAGGCCGGACTCAGCCCTTGGGCTTGTGAAGAGATGCTGGTCTGTGTCCAAGGTTCCCTAGACCTGCCTTCTCAGTCTTCCCAGTCCCTGCTGCCCAGAGGCATCATGTGGCCCCAGAGACAAATCCCCGGAGGCTTAATGTTGCCAAGACCCCTGGGGCTGTACAAGGGGCCTGACCTGGTATGGGACAGACCTGCCTGACCCTTGGCAGCCCCTGGAGGGAGGTGCACCACTCTAGGTTATAGGAGCATCGTGGCCGATCCCAGGTCTCACAGTGAATCAGTAACTGAGCCTAAAGGCCTCCAGCCCTGCCTCCTGTGGTCTCTGCTTCTTCCCCTGGGCCCCTTGGGACTAGGGACTCTTGCCTCCAAGTCCACCTGGCCTACTGGGCAGCTCCTGGACCAGAGGTGGAAGCAGAGCCTCCTGCAGTCAGGGAGAGCATCCTTCATGGAGACCACGAAGCAAGGCCACGGTAGGGGTGGGTCTATGTTAAGCCTCTCAGGGGCAAGAAACAGACGCAGGAGACTCGGATTCCACGTAGGGACCCACATGTGTGGCGTCCAGGAGGAGAGAGTGAGTGGGCCTGGATCCTGGGGGCGGCGGTGGCGGTGGTCACACCACTTGACACACGAGATGTGACTCAGCCATGCTTCTGCCACTCAGGGCTCCTCCCTCAGTTGGCTCCTTCTGCGCCTTCTGCATGGTAGCTCTTGTCCCTGTCCTGGCTCTGCTTCCTGGGCGCTTGGCTCGATGTCGTCCATCACTGCCGATCTGCAGCAGGCGGCCCTGGCTGGGGGCCAGCTCAGACTCCAGGCATTTCCAGTGCAAAAGTCTGGCCAGCTTTAGGCCTGGGCACCTGGGTACCCGCAGGAGCCTACTGGGCAGGGGAATGTCCCTGACGGGGTGGCAGATGCTGCCCAAGTGGCTCCAACTGGCTTCAGAAGCCCAGCTTGCCCACTGTCATCTCCCCCTTCATCCTGGAGGGGAGCTTGCCTTAGGACCTTCCCCAGCTTGATGCCCCCCCAGACCTTTTGAGAGTCCTCATCCAAAGTTCTATCAAGGGAGGGGTCCCCGCCCACCCCCAGGTGTGGATTTCCAAGGCCTTGCCTCTCCTTGCCCTCCTGAACCAGCCGCCTTGGGGTGAGCCTGCAGCCCCGATTCCCACCCCCCCCCCACCTGTAGCCTGAGGTCACATGCTGAGGTCAGGGAGTCTGGGGGTGGCCCTGATGTGGGCAGTCCTGCCAGGACATCCTGTCCCTCTGCTGGCCACGGATCACCCCTGAGGCTCTGTGCCGCTGTGCCCTGCTCAGGGGCAAGGCTCTCTTAGGTTCTGCTGTCCTTGTCGGCGCTAGTAAAAAATAAATCAGTCAGGCCGGCAAGAGTTCCTTGGTAATGAGAAGGGAAGGAATATTCCTATTCCAGGAATTTTTAGAATGGCCCTGATGAGGTAGGGGGTAGTCCAGGAAAGGATGGCCCTAGTCCTGCTGGTTGCCATGTGACTGGGGACTGTCTTTCCCTTTCTGCGTAAGAAGCTGAAGAGCTCCTGTCACTAAGGAAAGATTCAACTCATTAGACTTGACCTTCAACTCATAGGACAGTCACCCAAGTCTCAGTGTCTTTGTCCTGTGCATCAGATGGTGACTGTGGCACTTGAGCCTTAACTGCGCTCCTTGGGACCTGGCTTGCCTGGCAGGGACCCCAGGAGAGGCCCAAACAACATCTGGGGGCAGACAAGCCACACAGCTTGGCTCCTCGGAGGGATCCTTGCAGGGATGTATCAGGAGATGCCACCTTGTGGGTACCAAGGACAGGGGCTTGTGGAAGAGGCTCCTGGGGAAGTCTGGCTGATGCCCTTTGACCTGGAAGACCTACCCAGCCACCCATGCCCCCAGGGAGAACCCTAGTGCCAGTGGTTTGGGAGGAAGCCCCTTTCCTGGAGGTGGGTATGGAGCCCATGCCCAGCCCTGCCCTCCACGAGGCTTCCTGGGGGAGCTTCAGGTCTGGTTGGGGCCAGGAGAATGGATAAAGGGGGTCCTCAGTCCTTTCCTCAGTCCCTGCTGCGTGAAGCCCCTGCTGCCATGAGATGAGACGCTGGGGTGATCGGGGACCCCTTTCCCATATTCAGTTCCCTTGTCCTGCTCTGTGGGGTGCCCTAGTGGATTTGGAGGTCAGGAGCCCCCAGGTTGAGCTTTAAAAAGAGGGTATGTCCCAAGTGGAGGCCTGCCATTGGGTGGGCAGCCCCCAGGGGGTGTAGGCCTCCTCCTGGGCAGGACACCCACTTGGCCAGTGCTGCTGCTGGCTCCCCAGAGTGGCAGGGCCCTGGGTCTCCAGCTACAGTCCTGTTGAGTTAGTAAAGGGAGGACCCCGGGTCCTGGCAGCTGTGACCACCTGGAAAGATCAGGAGTGTGGCACTCTGTGGATGGAGGGACAGCTCTGACCTGAGGGGTGAGCAGGAGGGACATACTGGGGAGAGGGGGAGCCACCTCCTCACTGGGTTCTGCTTCCCAGAAATTTATGGGCACCCTGGGGCCCCAAGGATGCTGAGCAAGCCTAAGAAAGGCGCTGGCTCTCAGCGGGCGGACAAAAGATGAAGCCAGGCCGGCCCGCCAGCTGTGTGGAGGGACCCCTACTTCTGCGCTTTTGCCCTGGGGATCTTCACTGTGGGGTAGTCAAGGGAGGATGGCCAAAGGGCATGAGCCTCAGATGCCCAGGGGTCACAGTCAAGACCAGGCCAGGCCGGATTCTATCTCCCGGCGGCCAGAGGCTGCTTCGTTTTCCCATTGACCTTTCTGTGTGTGCACATGTGTGTGTGCATAGAGGTGTGTGTGTGTGTGTGTGCGTGCTTGTGCACACAGATGTTAGGACTGGTCACACAGGCACAGGTGGACTCAGAGACGATCTCAGCACGTCCCCTGGTGGTGTAGCTGGGGGTCCTGTCGGGTGGGGATCATGCTGGGCAGCGCATGACCTCTGCCTGCAGCCACACACCTGTGGAGCCAGAGGACCCTGTGGGGTCCAGGTGGTCCTGGCAGGGATGATGAGGCCCTGCTGCTGCCCTCGAGAAGTGTCTCTGCAGGCCCAGATAGTGAGTCAAGGTCACTAGGGCCACAGTTGGGCTTGGAGACCTACAGACCGGGGCTGAGTCCTGCTCTGCCTCCTCCTGTCCGTATGGCATGGGCAACCGATTCCTACCTGCCTCAGTAATTCCATCTGTAAAATGGGGCAGCTTTTCCTCACGGAGTTCAGAAGATGATGAAAGGAGATGGAGCCGAGAGGCCCAGCACGACCCATGGCAAGGGCTGGACACAGCAGTGCCTGGGCCCGGCAGACCGGCGAGGAGCCCCCAGACCTCTCCTGCCCCCTCCCCCAGGCAGGTAGACCCTGGGGGCTCATCACAGGAGTCAGGAGGGCAGCCGTTCATTTGTTCCTTTTTTCATTCTTTATTCAATCCCACATACCACTGTCCCCCTGACCAGCTCTGGGTGGGACCACCTGAGCTCATCTGTTGGTTGGTGGGAGGAGCTGGATGTGTGGATGTGACCTTGGGCCAGGGTGTCACTAGCACTGTTGGCTAGTGCTGTGCCCCCGGAAGGAGGGCCCTGTCCTGGGCCTGGGAGGCCAAGAGGATTTCTGAAGGTGTGAAGGTGTGAAGGTGGGGCTGCCGCAGAGCACAAAGCCCGGCGTGTGGCTGGAGTGTGGTGAGGCATGGGGAGGGGCTGGGTGGGCCAGGCCAGGCTGCCAAGGGCATCAGGGTGAAGCCGAGGAGCTCGGACTCCATTGCTTGCCCCAAATCAGGGGAGATGATGGTCACCTTTGACCCCTGGGGCAGGTGGACAAGAGGGGTGGCGAGCATCAGGGTGTCGCTGGCCCTGGCCTCTCGTCTGTGCAGCCAGAGGGAGGCCAGGTGATAGGATAGGTGGAGGGCCTCCTGCCAACCCAGCTGCCCTTTGCTCCTTCTGTGTGGGAGGGGCTCCTCTGTGCTCTGGAAATGGAGGCCTTGCTCTCTTCTGCCACCTCTGGAGGACACGAGAAGCCTCCTCTGATGGTCCATTGCAGGCATCCCAGGAGCTAGAGCTGGGTGGCCTTGAGGACCACACACCTTGGAGGGCTGTGTCTTGCTTTCTTTACTGCCCTGTTCGGGAAGGAGGCAGAGGGGTGTGTCACTCGAGCACCTCACTGGGGGCGGGAGGGCAGCCATCAGAGGGCTTTGCCGACGGAGTCCGGACTTGTGAGGACCTCAGCACACCTCTGGATATCCCCCTGACAAGGCCACACCCCCCCTCCCCCGTGGCCTCTCTTGGGGTGGCCTGGGGACAGCTGGGCCATTTACACCTCCTGTGGTGAAATGCAGGGCAGAGGCTAAAGCCTTACAGTCAGGGGCAGACCCAGCCCTGGCTGCCTCCACTCTCCCAAAGCTGCGCTGTGTGACTCTGGGCCAACCCTCTATCTCCCTGGGTCTCTACTTCTCTGTTCAGTGAGGAGGGTGAGTGCCCAGGCCAGCCCGTTCTGGGGTTCTCTGGAAGAAGGGAAAGAAGAAAGGGAGGGCGTCCCAGGGCTGGGCCACTCACTGGTTCTGTATATCATGGATGGTGTCGGGCAGCGGCAAGTTCTGGGTTTCAGGCAGCAGGAGTGCAGCCAGGCCACTCAACAATGGCACGGTCCCGTGAACCAGCAGGGGCAGTGAGGGGGCATAGATGCCCAGCAGCAGGACCAGGGGTCCCAGGATGGCTCCCCCACGGGCGGCCATCTGGCCCAGGCCCACCGCTGTCATCCTGCCGCGCAGATGCTCCTGTGAGCGGCCCCCGTATCCGCAGGCAGCTTTGACCTTCTGCCCCAGCCCAGCCCCACGTGGCCCAGGGACTCAGGCTGGGCCAGGACTTGCCTGGACAGCCCGAGACCACATGGAAGGGAGTCACGTGGCAGGAGCATCTGGGTCTGTGGCGGCCACCCCACCTCCCTCCCAGCCTAGGGCACCCTCTCTGGGGCCTCACCTGAGCACCGTGGGGAAGAGTTCACTAAGGAAGATGCTCACGCAGGTGAAGCTGGCCCCTAGCGCCCCCAGCCCCAGCACGGCCAGGGCTGAGCGCAGGGCCCCCATCTCTGTGGACACAGACGGGTTAGCAGGATGGGCGGCAGGCCTAGTTCTTTCCTGCTGAAACTCATCCCTGAGTCCTCATTTGTCCCATCCCGTCCCCTGGACTCTGCTGCTGCTTCCGCTGCTCCGGCCCAGCCAGGCCCTCGCGCCCCAGCAGCCTCCTCGGGGCGCTGCCGCTCTGGTCCTGGCCCTCGGAGGAAGGGGCCGAGGACCCCTGTTCCTGGCTCTGGCCCCGTGGTCCTGCCTCCCTGGGGGGTCAGCCGGGCTGTGCCTGCTCACCGTGGGGCACCAGGGTGTTGGCCAGGACGCAGAGCCCCGACAGCACCAGGGAGCCGGCCTGCAGCGGGCGGCGGCCCAGGCGGCTCAGCAGCAGCAGTGTGCCCATCTTGGCCGGGAGGTCCACGGCCCCGATGAGCAGCTGGAGCAGGAAGATGTCGCTGCCCAGGGCCTGCAGGTTCAGGGCCAGGCCGTAGAAGGTGAAGGCAAAGGCGAACCTGGGGGCCGTGGGCAGGTGAGCCGGGCGCGTCCTGCCGGGAGCCTGACTACAGAGGGGCAGGTGACGGGTTGCCACACCTCCTGGGGGCACTCTCAGGCCAGTGGCCAGACAGGAGAGCCCGCAGGGCCCTTGGCCACTTGCCGGCTCAAGCCCTGACTCCGGGCTCCCCTGGCAGCCAGCAGCTGAGGCCGGCCTGGTGGGGGGGGTCCAAGGCACCTACCAGATCATCAGGGAGACCCAGGTCCGGAGGCGCAGCCCGGGTGTGCAGAACAGGGTGCCCAGGCTGACGGGGTCCTGGCCCCTGCTCACCTCCTCCTGCAAGGCTGAGAGCACGACCTGGCGGGGTGGGCAGAGGTGTCGGTGCTGGGACACCTGCAGCCCTTCCTCCCGGATACCCTCACCGGGAGCTGGCCCATGCTTGGCCTCCTGGCTGGGGCAGGGAGAGGCACTGAGGCCCAGGTCCTCACCTCCATGGTCAGTGCGTCCCCTGCCGCCCTCTTGCCGTTGATGGCGGCCACCCTCTGCAGCTCCTGCAGGCCCCAGTCCAGCTTGCCCGTGATGAGGAGCCATCTTGCGGATTCGGGCAGCCACCTGGAGTGCAGGGGTGTGTGGGGGTCACTGCCTGCCCCTCCCCCTCCTCCTCTCTGTCCCCTGTCTCTCAGCTGGAAGGGGCCTCCCTGGCACCACGGCCTCAGGCTCAGAGCTGTCGGGTCCATGCTGCAGGGGACAGCAGGGTTCAGCAGGTGGCCCTCCGCCTCCCTCCTCCCTGGGCTGGGGTTGGGGCCCACCCTCTGTCCCTGGACCAGCTGCTGCCGGTGGGTGACCCTTGTTCCTTCCCACCTCCTCCTGCCCCACAGCCCTCCCCCACCTCCTTCAGGAGCCAGGCTGGGCTGCACCCAGGCCCCAGGGGCTGCGAGTCCACAGAGTGGGTCTCCTGCTCCAGCGCCCCTGGTGTCACGCAGCCCCCTGTTCATCCTTCTTGCTGCCAAAGTCTCACCTTCCTCCCCAGGCGCAGGCCAGGAGCAGGTCTGTGATGTCACCCGTTGGCCAGCCCCCGTCATCCCCTCTGGACCCCTCACGTCTGGCTGCGCCCACGGCCACCTGCCCCGGCCTGCGATGTGTTGCCTGCCCACCACTCCCCACGGAGCCTCCTGCAGGCCCAGGTCCCTTAGCCAGGTGAGCTGTCCTGTGGGGAGCCACCTGCCTCACACCCACCAGGGTCCTGAGCTTGTCTGGGATTTGCAGAACAGGGGACAGAAGGGGGCTGGGGGTACAGACTACGGTCGACGAGCCCCAGTGGCTTGTCAGACTCGGGCACAGGGAGGAAGGGAGAGGTGTTGGGGGCCTTTGGACTCCAGCATCAGGTGGGGGACTGCCCCCAACGTGGGGAGAGCAGGTGTTGGTAGGGAGGTGTCACAGGCACCTGGAGCTGACGCTGAAGCTGGGGTGGGGCGCAGTTTGAGGTCTGCAGCACTTGGAGGGGTTGGAGATGCTGGCTGAGACCCTCGAGGGGGAGGCCCTGGGCCGTACCCACTGTGTGCTTTGGGGTGGCCAAGTAGCAACACCTAGGCCACAGACAGTGAGTATGGGGGCTCCTGGAGGCCTCGGGACGTAATCCTGGGCGAGCGAACCCCGGGTTGGAGTGAGTTTGCGTCACAGGCTTGTGGTGTGCAGGCTCCCTCCAGCCCAAGTGACCCTGGCCTCCCGCCCTGACAGCCTTCTGTCCCCAGGGAACGGAGAGTCTCCTACACTGGGCTCCTCAAGAGCGGGCAGGGTCTCTTCCAGGAGGGGAGAGGGTGCGGCACCCACCATGAGTACACAAAGCTGAGGATGAAGGGCACGGAGATGGCCAGCTGCAGCAGCGACCAGTCACGCACACCATAGGCCAACGCGGCCATCAGCATCTGGCCAAAGCTGAAGCCCACGGAGTTCAAGGTCATCACCAAGGGGCGGGCCCGGGCCGATGTCCACTCCATCACTGCGGGAGACGGCGTGGGTCAGCCCGAGGCCCGTCACAGCCTACCCTGCACGGCCCCAGGTTGGGGGACCTACGGAGACTGCCCGAGTTCATCATGATGCCCGCCACGGCGAAGGCCACCAGGAAGCGGAACAGGCAGTACAGGGGGAAGGTGGGGGCGAAGGCAGCCACCGTCCCCGACACGGCAGTCTGCAGGTAGTTCCACGTCAGCACCCTCTTGCGCCCGAACCTGCGGCACACACACCAGGGTGGCGGATCCAGGGCGTGTGGCGGGGTCACCGGGATCTGGACCTGTGGAGCCCACCCTGTGCCCACCGAGCCGAGGAAGCTGCCCTTGGTCAGACCTCGGGAGCGTCAGGGAGCGCTGGAGGTCAGCGGAAGGCGTGCTCAGTGGGGAAGGGCTGCCCGTCACCAGAGGCCCTCCAGGCACCCAAGGCTGGTGTGGCCACGCGCAGAGTGACGAGCCACAATGACACTCTACAGCCCCAGAGCAAGGCGAGTGACCCTGTGGCCCGAGGAGCGACCAGACTTGCTCTGGTGACATGGAAAAGGGACCCACCAGGACCGGGGGGCTCACCTGTCCGAGGCGTGGCCACACACCGCAGCTCCCACCAGGACCCCCGCCAGATAGATGGACTGGGACACGGGCTTCAGGAACTGAGAGTCACACACCAGGTCCCACTGGTGGGAGAGCGGGGGAGGGGTGAGCCCAGGGGGGCGGGGGCCGGGGAGCTAGTGGGTGGCTCCTACGGAGGGGGCCCCCTCTGGGGGCGTGGAGCAGGGCCCCCGGGTTCTGCCAGGGCACCGCAGTGTGGCTTGGTCTCCTGAGGAGTGCACTGCCACCCCACCAAGCCCTCAGTGGCTCCCTATTGCCCCTGCCCTGTCCAGAGGCCACACTCCTCCGCTTCTTCACAGAAACGCCCCTTCCTGCTTGCTGGGACCAGCTGCCCCTCTCCACTGGCCCAGATTTGTCTCATGTCCCTTATGAGAAGGCACCTGGGCTTGCCCTGTGTGCTTTGTCCTGGAGGAACCCAGCAAATGGTCACTAAGCGCCCCATGACTGACAGCCAAGTGTCAGCAGACCCATTGGGAGGTCCCCGTCCCCTGCAGGGCTGTGTGGCAGAGGCCCGGCTGAGAGCTGACCCCGGAGCAAGGGAGGCCTGGGGAGGTGGCCCTTCCTAGGACTGGACCGTTTTGAGTCCAACTACTGATCTGTGGCTTTGACCCCCAGGAGCCAGGTGTGGCCCCTTACCGTGGTCACGGTGGTGGAGGTGAAGCTGCTGCGGTCATAGACCCAGCCGTCCACACACGGCTCTGTGGCGGCCTCGCTCCAGTTGGTGGCCGTGGCGTTGGGGTCCAGGAGCTGCCACTGCGGCTGGCGGAAGCGGAGACACTGGTGTGGCTGCTGGTTGGGGCCCCGTGGGACGGAGACAGCCAGGAGGGCCTGGGGACTCAGGGCCCCTGTGACGCCGGCCTGGCTGGTGCCGTTGTCCAGGAGGGGCACCCAGCAGCGGTGGCTGGGCACGGCGGCCGAGAAGTTCTCTGCCATGTTCTGCATGGTGAGCAGGACGACGGGGACCACCAGGGCCATCAGCTGGAGAATCTGGAACCTGCCCGTGCCACCTACTTGGTCTAGGAGTTCCGGAAATGCCATGGCGCCGGCCCAGGGGGCCCAGGGAGGCGCCCGCTTCACAGAAGCTGGTCCAGGGCCCAGGGCCACGAGCCACAGGCCTGCGCTTCCCACAGCAGTGACCACTCCAGCGTCCCCAGCCGGGCAGCCGGGAGCATGTCAGGGGCCACCGGCTTTGCAGAGCTGGGCCTGGGGCTCCTTGGCATCCGCTCACTGGCTGTCACTTGGGGTGGCTCCCACCGAGCCTTGGAGCCACATGCTGTGACCCTGAGGCCACCCACATGTCCCAGGGACACGGCTGCCCTGGGCCTCTGGAAAAAGCTGACTTTGGAAAGTGGGACTTGGAGACAGAAGCCACCCACGCTGGAATTAAAGTGTGACCAGGGGCCGCTTAGGGCAGAGGGTTTAGCAATCATCCCAGACAAAGTTTAACCCGGCCCTGAGGGAGGCGCAGGCGCAGGGGATCGGCAGGGCTGGCCTCCCTCTGCCTCAGGGAACCCGGGCTCTGCGCCCGTGGCTGCGTGCCACCCCCCAGGGCCCCTGCCTGCCTCACAGGGTGGCTGTGGCCATGGGTTGGCCCAAGAGCAGGTGGCCCCGGGATTCCCCTGTTCTTGGAGCCTCCAGCGGCGTGGGCTCGGGGACACATGTGTCCCCATGCCTCCTAGCCTGTGGGCTGCCATCACTGAGGCCTGCATCCCCTCTGCCGCTACCCTCTCCTGAGTCACAGTGGGGCTTTCTGAGTTCACCCGATGCCCTGAGCTCAGGGTGTCCACAGCCACCTTGGCATGGCCGAGGCTGAGGTCCCCACAGGTGCCTCCCTGGCAGCTTCCCTGTCTCAGCTTTTAGAGGCTCCATCCTTCCGGCTGCTCAGGACGACACCAGGGGGCCACAGGGGAATCCCGTCAGTTCACCTTCAAAACTTGTCCGGGGGCCAGGTGCAGTGACGCTCTCCTGGGATCCCAGCAGCTTGGGAGGCTGAGGCAGGAGGATCGCGAGTTCAAAGCCAGCCTCAGCCACTTAGCGAGGCCCTAGGAACCTAGCAAGACCCTGTCTCTAAATGAAATATAAAAAGGGCTGGGACGTGGCTCAGAGGTTAAGCGCCCCTGGGTTCAATCCGCGGTACAAAGGAAAAAGCGTTCAGGAATGCCACCCGCTCCACGGCGACCATCTTGGCCTGTCGGGGTGAAGCTCCTGGGTCAGTGCAGTGGCCTCTCCATAGACTCCTTGCTTCCACCTTTGAGCCTTTATGGAATATTCTCCGCCTGAAGAACAGGGGTTCTGGTTCACTCCAGTCAGGCCACATCACGGTTGTGCTCAAAACATGGCCGCACCTCCTCACCTCTCTCAGAGTAAAAGCCAATCTTTACAGTGACGCCGTTGGGCCAGCCATTGCCTCTCCAAGCTCATCTCTAGTCCTTGCTCTCCACACATCAGCTCCCACGACCTCCTTGCTGTACTTTGTGCCACATGCATGTCTGCCTCAGGGCCTTTGCACCTGCTGTTCCTCTTGCCTGGGCCCCTCTTCTCCCAGAGATTCCCGTGGAATCCTGAGGATTCCTTCAAGTCTGTGTTAGGAAGGCTTGTTCTCAGCATGGACTTCTCTGAACTCCCTGACTAAACTTCATCTGCCCCCATCCTTGGCACCCCCAGTTCCGTTTCTTACATCTTTTGTCTCCGTTATACTTACCACCATGGGTCACAGTACACGTTACTCATTCATTTGTTTCTGTTTAGCTTCCTACCATTTGAATGGAAGCTCCTTGAAGGTGCAGATAATGGCTATTTTGTTCACTGCTCATCCCATCACTTGGCACATAGTTAGCACTCAAGCGTGGAATAAATGAGTAAATTAATTAATGAGCAAATGCTTGACTTACATAATCCCAATGTAATCCAGGATCCATTGGAACCAGTATCCTCCTTGTGGGGGCTACTCAGTTTCAGGATCCAGCTTCCCAACTTGCTCTTTAGTTGAATTCATTTTGCTTTTTAAACCTCCTATTAAGATTTTTATTCCTCCAATCATGCACGTTTTATTTTCAGAATTTGTAATTTTCATTTCAAAATCCCTATTTGGTTCTTCCTATTCTGACTCTACCATTATTTTGGTTCTGCCTGTTCTTGTTTCCTAATTTCCACTTCTTGTTTCATGGGCACACTCATTTCCTCACTCTCCAAGAGGATTCGGAATGAGCTTTTCTGGTTGCTATGGAGACCCATTCACAGAGTAGATTTCACAGCATGTTGACGAGGTGCCAGCTTCTGCAGGGAGCCCTGGGGATAGAGCAGGGAACCCAGGAGATCATTCCCTGCCTTCCTCTCATGCTCTGTGGGAAGGCCTGCCCGTGGGGGAGGGGAAGCTGGCCAAGAAATACACGAAAAGTAGTGAGTATGCCACGGAGAGCTACTGGGCCACATAAAGGGTAAAGAGTGAAGGGGGCAGGCTGGGGCTGGGGCTCGGTGGTAGAGCGCTTGCCTAGCATGTGTGAGACTCTGGTGTCGATCCCCAGCACCACATAAAACTAAATAAACAAAATGAAGGCATTGTGTCCATCCACAACTAAAAATATTTTTTAAAAAAGAGTTTAGGGGGCTACTTTAAGCAGTGCCATCAGGGGAGACCTCTCTCTGGGGGTGATATCGGAAGAGACCTGAGTAGGTGAGAGACAAGACACTCAGCTGGAGAACACTCAAGGCGGAGGGTGAGCCTGGGCAAAGGCCCTGGGGTACGAATGTTCTTGGACACTCCAGGAGTAGTAAGGGAGTCAGTGTGGTCAGGGTGCAGTGAGCAGAGAGAGTGGGAGGAGTTGGGGGTGACCAGCTGCAGGATCAGAACCCACAGCTCCTACAGCTCTGATATATGTATTAAAAGACCCCTGGCTTCCATGAAGGAAGGGGCCGTGTGGGGGAGGGGCCCCCAGGAGCCGTGGGGTCAGGCAGGCCAGCAGTATTGGTAAGGGGCTCAGGTCCGCACTAGCCCCGGGGAAGGAAATGCTGGGTTGGGATGCTGTGAGCTTGGCATGGCGTGAGCCATCCGGGCGGGGGTGTCACGGAGTGACTGGGAGTTACTAGGGCATGAAAGGCATTTCAGGTCACAGGGCTGGATGAGTCCACTTTGGGAGTGACCTTTCATAGCCAGGAGGGGTGGTTTGAGGCTGAGCCTTCCAGTCTCTGGTTTTGAGAGGTCAATAAGAGAGGCGGGGCCAGAGAGAGAGAGAGAGAGAGAGAGAGAGAGAGAGAGAGGTGTGTGTGTGTGTGTGTGTAGGAGGCAAAACCAGTGTGGTGTGGAAAACCAGGACACCCGGGTTCCAGGAGCTGGATGGAGAGCGTTTGACCGGGTCATCCACAAGGTCAAGTCTGGGGGTGGGGGAGATGAGGACCGGCCGGGGAGCCGCAGCGTGGACTTCTCCAGTGACCATGGCTTGAGGGTTTGCTGTGGACTAGGAGTGAAATCCCCACCGGCCTGGGTTCCTTGAGGACTGGAGGAGAGGAAGCAGGATCAGTGAATGCAGAAACACATTAAGAAACTTTGTATACGGAGAAGCTGGGAATCGGGGAAGTGGTTTGAATGGAGCAGACTGATGCTAGCTGCTATAACAAGCAACCCCCAAATACATAACGGCTCAGACACCATAGAGGTCTATTTCCGCAGAGGTTTATTTATTTTGTTAATCAGTTAGTTATTTTTGTGGATCGAATCCAGGGGCACTCTACCATTGAATTATATCCCAGTCCTTTAAAAAAATTATTCTTAAGTTTTAGGTGGACACAATATCTTTATTTTACATTTATGTGGTGCTGAGGATCGAACCCAGTGCCTCATGCATACTAGGCAAGTGCTCCACCACTGAGCCACAATCCCAGCCTCCCGAGTCCTTTTTTTATTTTGAGACAAGGTCCTGTGCTGGCCTCAAACTTGAGGTCCTCCTGCCTCAGTGTCCTGAGCTGAGCTCACTGTGCACCACTGTGAGCAGCTAGATGTTTAGTGGTGGGTTTTTGTTTTTTTTTTTAGGTACTTGGAAGTGAACCCAGGGTCTTGTGCCTGCGAGGCAGCCCTCTACCACCTGAGCTATGTGCCCAGCCTAGAAGTTTAGCTCTCGATGGTGTAAAGTCCCTACTGTGTGTTGCTGCTCAGTGGGCAGCTTTCTTCCATGAGGTTTCCGGGACACCGGCTCTTCCCGTCTGTGGTGCTCATGTGTATCCAGCCATGGAGGAGAAGGGAGGACAGCCAGTCACCCGCACTCGGACCGTCCTAGCCCGGAAGTGGTGCACGCTGGTCAGGTTCCCGCCCACTGGTAAGAGCTGTCCCAAGGACTCACCTCGAGGGCAGACTGCGAGGAGGTGGTTCCTGGCTGGGCCGATGCCTCCCAGCCAGAGCTGCAGACTCTGGAGCAAGTGTGCGGGTGGACAGAGCCTCTCCAGGGCTTGCCTGTGGCGCACACCTGTAATCCCAGCTGCTTGGGAGGCTGAGGCAGGAGGATCGCGAGTTCAAAGCCAGCCTCAGCAACTTAGTGAGGCCCTGCTATATAAAATATAAAAGAAAGGGCTGGGGATGTGGTTCAGGGGTTAAGCACTCCTGGGTTCAATCCCCTGTACAGATAATAATAATAATTCCGAAGTTCTGCGTACTTTTCTAGGTGTGTTACTCCTAAGCCTGCTTCTCTTCCAGGCCTGATACTCCCAAACTCCTGGGAAATCTGTAAATTTACCTGTACACTGTCAATGACCCCCAGGAAATAGATTAAGCAAAGGGAGGTGACAATCTTGAGGACTCTGTAGTGTAGGGGCCTTCCCAGCACTGCGTACTGATCGGGCGATGGTCGAGAGCCACCCGGGGACTGGGTGTGGATGATATTGCGCGTCGCAGCCTAGTGAACAGGTTAATCTGGAGTCAGGAAACCTGCAGTGGACATTTCCTCTGGTTGACCGCCCACACACATAGTGAGCCCCATTTGGCTCTGCTGGCCCCGCCCAGCCCCGGAGATGGGGTGACCTGCTACAACCACCCAGACGCCCAGCCCCTC